AATTAAGACTTTTGGAGCCATTAAGACAGAATAAACATGTTTTATCATGCTTGTGAGAAAGATGTGATTTAGAGGAGGCCTGGAGCAAACGCTGTGGTTTGATTGTCCATTCCAAATTTCATGTTGAAATGTAATTACCATTGCAATAAATAGTGTTAAGAAGTGAGACCTTTTAGAAGAAATTTGTTCCCAAAAGCTCTGCGTTGATGAATAGGTTCATGACCAACATGCACTGTTAGTGAGGGAGTGAGTTAGTCATGTTGGGAGTAGCTTGGACGTAAAAGCCAGCTCTGACTTTCTCTTTTGCCATGTACTGCCTCTATCATATTATAATACAGCAGTGAGGCTCTCACTATATGCAGCACTTTGGTCATGGACTTCTCAGTCACTAGAACTGTGCAGAATAAATGTATTTTATTTTTTAATTACCCACTACAGCAGCAGAAAATGGATTAAGATAAACTCACTTTTTGGATGTTAAATAAAAGTTACCTTTACCATTGTCTTTAAAGAGTGGGAGTGAATTGAACCTGCTGTGTGAAGGGAATCAGGGCTCTGATAAAATCAGGTATTTTAATTACATAACGGGATGATAATATTAATCTGTGTATGAGCAGATAAAGTGAGAAGACTATTTCAGGGAGAAAAAGTTGTGCTGTTCTTGCTTTTGTTTGATTTGCTGGCAGTCCCTGCAGTCCTCATTTGAGCCACACTAGTACACCCAAACAGCTGTGTTAGTAACCGAACTTGTAGAATAATTTCATAAAATAACCCTAAGGAGCTTCTGAACAAGAACCTTCGGGGGCTTGTGAATAAACCACACACTTCATTGCAGTGGTTGTAAAAATAAGCATTTTGCTGACTTGAAGACTTTTCTTGCTTCCTTCCAGAACCTGGCCTTGCAGGTTTCCAGAACAGAGCCAAAGGGAACCCAGTTTCTGTTTAAAACTTTGGTCTTACGTCCACTTCTCACTTACCACCTTTTGGTTTCCAGCACCAGAAGGCCTAGACGGGAGGGACTTATCTCTTCAAACTGTGGTTCTTGGACTTCTATTGTCCTTTACCACTGCCTCTGTTTCCCCAATCTCCCTTGGTGGTAGGCGTGGCATGGGGGGCACCAGCAAGACAGTCCTGGTTCCAGTAGTCACTGCTTTCCAGTTCTTTCCCTCTAGTCAGTTAGACAGACAGGGCGGGCTGGAGGTCACCTGTCCATTTCCCAGGCAAACAGGCAGGGCGAGCTGGTCTCCTTTGCAGATGTTCATCTTCACTTCATCTGGTTCTTTCCAAAACTACCTCATGTAATTGGTAGAAGAGAAGCAAAATAGCCAGCACATACTCTGTTCCAAAAGAATGGCAATTTTTCATGAATTTTCTCTCCTCTCCCAGGTACCTTGCAGAAGGACTAGAAATGACCGAATGTAACAGAATAGGCTTACCTTTTACAAGTCAAATGCAGGTGTATCTGGTTTCTTTGAGGACTCTTTTTTTGAACCACATTTTTTCAACTCAGATGGTCACAGGAATTATCTGAAACCTTAAAAAATACCTGACAAATAGATACCACTCTTAGAGTTTTCAGTTTAATTGGTCTGATGTAGCAGGTTGGTTTAAAAACAAATTCTCAAGTGATCCAATGATCTAAAAACACCCAGGGTGACTGACTAGAGCAGCGCTCTTCACTTCGGCTACTGTTCAGCCCCATGCCCAGCCCTCACCCTGTGCCGGTCACATTGGATTCTCTGCAGTGAGACCGAACCAGGCTTGTGTGTCTTTCAAAGTTTCCTACATGATTCCAGTATGCAGCCAAGGTTGAAGCCACTGCTCTGGAGATTCTTGGTTATTTTGTTTGGGGTGGGTCTTAGGAACTGATGTTTGTTAAAGGTACCCAAGGTAATTTCTATGCACAGTTTGAGTCAAGAACTACTTAATATTCAGATTGGTGTCATTTTGCCCCAAAGGTCCTCCTTTGTCATTAATACCCTTCAGCCTATGGATTCAGGCTTGTTTGCTTGCCCCAAACCACACCAAGCAAGTCTTGAACAACGGTAACAGTGGTCCAGAGATCTAGATTCATGAAAAATTATGGATCCACGCAGGCACAGACTTCTATTCATTCCTGAATAGTCTCATTAGTTAACTATCATTCATTCAACAAATGTACATTAAACACATACTGTGTGCCAGCTACTCTGTAGTGAATTGTGAATACAATGACAAATATGGTTTCGCTACTTCAAGAAGCTGAGAGATTTGTAAGGATGAAGGAAGAAAGAGACATTTAGAGGTACCTCAGAGAGTATTAATTCTTACAGTGGATGAGTAAACAAAGAATCACAAGAAAACAGACATGACAACAGCTACATCTGCCCTTATAGCCAGTGGATACATGTCTGAAGAGCTACTGCTTAAGCTAAATCAACCCTACCCAATCTAAGATGACCTCCATGGTGTGACTTCTGTGTTCATTTCCTACTACTCTCTCCCTGATTTCAGCTTTAGCCGTGCTTACCTCCATTCTGTTCTTTGAATATCCCGTTCTCTCTTAAGCCTTAGATTTTCACTTATTTTATGCCTGAAACATTTACCCCCTTTCCAGACTGCTACCTCTTGTTTAGAACTCTGATTAGCTGTTATGTTCACAAAGGGGTGCTCTGTGATGATACTGTGTATTTTTTTTTTGTTTTAAAAATAAAAGGAGGAAAACATTAACAGACAGACAACCTTATACATCCAGGTCAAGCACATAGTGCTTTGTTCATAGCACATACATCTTTCATGTTCATCTGTGACACTCATACCCATGCAATCCATGAAAGTAAGAGAAAGGGCTATCTCCTCTGTCATTGTGTCTTCTGTCACAGTGCAGGGTCCAGCACTACTGAATGAATCAGTGAATGAATGAATGAATGAATGAGTGAATGGATGAATTGCATTCCAGGAACAAGGGAGAATATGTGTTGAGCCATAGAGACATGGCGTTCTGTGGCATGTTCTAGGAATAGTAAATATTTTAAGTAGCCAACATGTAGCATAAGAAAGAAGAGGTGTCTAGAGATGAGTCCAAAGAAGTCAGCTACTAAAGACCTTCCATAACACATTAAGGGGTGAAATTTCACCCTGTAGGATGTGACTATCAGCTTTTAAACAGAAGAATAATAGTTAGGCTTAGTCAGGACAATTAATTACTTTAGAAGAAGTGTGGAGGATGGACTGAAAGACTCATTTAAATGAAATCTATAAGAAGTTGTTCCTGTACTGCACGTGAGAAATGATGAAGGCATCCCTGCAATAACAAAGTGAAGAAGCTGCATTCAAAAAGCTTTTGTGAGATCGAATCTATAGCAGTAGTAACTGATGACTAATTGCATCTGGAGGAGTGAATGTGAAAGATGATGACATGGATGAGCTTAGGAGACAGGCTGCTGGGGATACTATTAATGGAAATACAGAATTTAGGGAGAGGAAACTATTTTCAGGGAAAGGAATAATGAGCTCAATTATAAACATATTGAGAGTTCTATGCACCTGTTGGGTATCTGGCATGGTATTTCATGCAGTTGAAATGCATAAAATCTCACCTTCGTATCTTATTGATTGTGGATGTAACCAGTGTTCTCCAATTGACTGTGTTGTCTTCCAGTTCATGTACTAAAAGAAAACTTTGGAAAATGACAGTGTCATATTGATTTCACAATTTGTGTTACTTTAGGCTACAACTGGCAGTCATAATGACTGCTTCACCGAGAGTCTCTGTAAAGTCACTTTGCAGCTATTTTCTTTGGTTAGATACATACACCTGTACTAACTCTACTTAATTTCTGAAGTAGTAATAATCTCATCATAGGTGGATATGCTGTTATATTTCTTTCTTATTAGATTATGAATTCTGTGAATTCAGGAAGGAAGTATGTTATTCTTGCTAAACTTAGTGCCAGTTATAGTGGGAACTCGAATGAATGGATGGGTGGATGGATGGATGGATGGATGGATGGATGGATGGATGGAATGAATTTATAATCTAACTTTGGGAATAAGTGATACTCTCTGGAGCTAGTGACCTACGAATTAATCCTATCCTACTTGTTAAATGCCTAAGTGACTTTTCAGTGAACTGTTGACTACAGCGATAGGATAGAGGAGGTATTTGTAAGTAGTTTAAAGTGGATTTTTGTGATATTTTCCCTTGGCAATGTGAAATAACCCAGGGATTCTTAAATTTCATAGCCATGAAAGACTGTTCCTTGATACATTAACCTCTGATACTGACACTGAAAACTCTTTTGATTGGCACTGCTCTAGAAGCTGATAGGTGGATAAAAGATCAGATTTTTATTTTAGGAAGCTCACTCTGTGGATCTTATGAAAAGCCTGGGGAAGAGGAAATTATTCCAGTTGGACAGAGGAGGGATGATGAGGACCTGGAATAAAGCAGTCGTGGTGCAGTGGAGAGTCTTTTGGTTCCTTTCCTCATCAAATATTAATTCATTTATTATACCTTACTCTGGGATGTGATGGCAAACAGACTGGAGGGGTGCCTGTGTTTCAGGAATTTATATACAGTGAAGGAGATACATACCAATCAAATTATCATACTAAAAAATGTGAGATTTTGGTGTGGTAAATGTCATATGTGAAAAATCAAACAAAAGCATCTCAGAGGTAAAACTTACAGAACTACTTGGTTACAGGGATATCAGAATAAGGGACAGATATGTTCCTTTGTCTTTTGTCCTTACTCAAATAGCTCTGTATGACAAAAATAGCATATGTGAAATGCCACCAAGAAGATGTATAAGTCACGTTGTGTGGATCAGGTTAAAATGACTATTACTCAAAGACTATTACTCAAATCAGTAAGCTCTGAGTTATAAAGTCTGATCTTGCAGTTAATTCTGCTTTGTTTTCAATTGGCATACTGTTATCACTCAATTGGAATAACATGAGTATGTTGATGAGATACAATGTATTGTACATCTCTCCATTTTGGTTTTTTCATTCAGATGTTGCAAGAGCAATTGAATTACTGGAAAAACTACAGGAATCTGGAGAAGTACCAGTGCACAAGCTACAGTCCCTCAAAAAAGTGCTTCAGAGTGAGTTTTGTACAGCAATTCGAGAGGTAGGACACTAAGATTTTAATATTCAGCCATATGTCCTCTGAATAGAAAACATGATTCCACGCAGTTGACATAGTCAAGATTGGAACTACATCTTAACTTTCTATTTTTGGCTGCTTAGACGGATGATAAAATATAATTTAGTCTGCTAATTTCTTAAATTAGATCCAGCCAGGGTTTGTATATTCATATAAAGCCAAATGTTGATCTTATGGTACCGAGGAATAGATTGCTTCTTCAGGTGACGGTGGCCTGAAGTGTAAACTATTTACTAATCACATGAAGCCACCTGGAAATTCAGGTAGAAGTACTCATAATAAGGCCTGTCCTTTTCTTAAAAGAATAGTCAAATACTCATTTCACAGGAAAATCTGAAAGAGTAACCTCCTGTTGACTAAAGTTATAGGTATCCAAACATTGCAGTCTAGTGTGGTAATGAAAAAGCTGATGTGCTTTTGTAGCCAAGCTTTGTAATCCTTCCTTGGCTAATGGTTTCAAGAGGCACAAGGTGAAACAAATATGTTGAAACAACTACTTGAATTTTGTATTGACTTGTAGTGGAATTGATCATTCAACTAATTAATTAAATTGCTTATAAGAAAAGTCCCTTGAGCTAGATAAGCTGTATAGTCTTATTCAATAATCCATTACTCTTTCCTATCAGGAACTAGATGATAATTCATTAACTATCACAGAGCCCATAAATCTAGTGCATTTGCCCTTCTCAAGTTCCCAGTGATGAATTACCTACTGGCATCCTCTTCAAAGCCAGATGAACCCAGTGAGTGCCTGGACAGCTTATTGTACCATGGAGCATTATACCTCTCAAGGAATCCATATTTCAACTATCCTTACTCTTTATAAATTGACCTGTGGCTAATGCACATCCCATTAATTCTAGTTTATGCAGTTAGGGCTGCAAAAGACCCAGTTGACTAAGGTGGAGACATAAAAAACTTCCTAAAAATTTGAACTGTAATCTGTACAGTGCAGTTAGTATTTGAGATTTTGTTGGCATTCAGCCTATCCTGTGCTTCTGCTCAATCTTTATCGGATGAAGTTTTTCACTATTTAACTTTTGTTAATAAAGAATATAGTTTGAATAAGCAGCTGTAATTATATCTCCAAGTTTTAACCTTAGCATTGATCAGAGGCATAAAGAAATCTCTCAAGAGTGTCTGAGTTCGCTACCACTGACTTCCCCTCAGTGGAAAATATATAAGCTAGCGAGAAACCCCACAGGCTCTCTCTTGGTTAAACTTCTATCTATGATGGCTCTGCAGACTAAGACCAAATTCCCTGCACATTTTCTTTCTTCAAAGAGTACCATTCACCTGAGATTGTGGGACCAATTTTTCCTTTTTTAGAGATTTTACCTTTTTTTCTGTGTCATTGTATTCCTCTTTCCACAAAACTAAGTACAGGATGCATCAAATACTTATCTCTGCTAATGAGTATATACAGTCACCACTGACCAATTCAGTCTGAGTTCATGGAAATTACATTCCATTAATTACACTCCATATAAGTGCACAGTTGAGTATTAAAAAGTGACAAGATGATGGAGATAAAATAAAGCAGGATTAAAGGGGTCAGGATGAGGCTGTACTAAGTGTGGTCAGATTAAAAGATCTAATTAAAATAATGGAACAATAGAACAATTCACCCAAATATCAGGAGGAAAAGTGTTCTAGGAAGAGGAAATCACAAGTACAAAAACCCAGAGGCAATAATGGTCATAATATATCAAAATAATAGCCTAAAAGTCAGTATGCGTGCAGTGCATTAAGTAACGTTGCGTCCCTAGATCTAGGCAGCTAGAACGCTGATCACCTAAGAACTCACAAGCCACAGTCAGAACATTGAACTTCATTCTAAATGTGATCAAAGGCCATTGCAGAGTTTTGGCCTGACCTGATTTGTGTTTTGAAAAGGTTTCTCTGGCTACTGCAAGAGTACAAGGGTAGGTACAAGAGGATAGACACTTGAGGCCAGTAATAAAGTAATGAGATCAACTCAGAAATAAAACAGTGGCCATTTGAACAGAAATTTGTGGCTTAATTACCTTTCTCAGAAATGTTTGTTAGCTAATTTTGAACTATGTTCTTAATTATATTTATTGGAGCAAAAGAGAGATATAGGTCACAATATTACTAACAAGATTTTACAACATAAATTTTGCTCAAATAGAAGGCAGGGTATGCTTTAGCCAAATATTTTTATTGCTTTATATAAGTGCAACAGTAGCTATTATTACATGTTGAGGTAAGCTCATATTTGGGTTTATTTGAGTTAAACCACTGAGTCAGCTCTTGGAATATGTACAACCTTTACAGGAAGAGAATAGTGTAATGAAATTTTGTTTTTTTAACTAAAATGAATGCATAAGAGATCAGAAACTTAGTTTTCTGTAAGCTATAATAAAGACGAAAAGTCTGTTGAAATCAGTACCGTATAAAGGGCATGTGTGTACACGGAGAAAGGCATTGCTTTATTAATAAATAAGTTGCACTTGAATGCCAGTCCACACATGACTTTATCCACAGCTCATACAGTGGTCGGCAGTTTCCTTGATTGTGTTTTATTGCTGTAGGACCTCAAAATAACCCTGATGAATAAACAAATTTACTCATTCTATGAAAGTAATATAAAATCACATGACAAAGAAATGGGCTGACATGTGATGTACTCTTCTACAATGAGATATACTGGTTGATAAGATACATTCACACAGGTATTGAATCAGAAATGAAACAAAAACAAAACTTGTGTGGTACTCATATTCCCAGTAAAGACGACTTCTGTGCTTTGAATCACCTTCAAGTTGCACTGTAATGATTAAAGTAAGTGCCTTGAACTTTGTAGATGAAAGGTTGAAATTTAATGATTATAAAATACTGATTTTTGAATAAGAAAATCGACTGGTGATTCAGACAGCTCAACTGCCTAGATATGGGCTTTTCCTTGATATTTCATCTTCTCTGTGCCTCATCAGAAAAAAATCAGTAAACGAATGATCGTATCTAAGAACACATCCAATTTCTGCAGCAGAATACGAATAAATTGTTCCACAACCAAAGTAATCAAAAGTATATTCATTGATCTTCTTAGCACCATTACTATCCAAGCACTAAAATATCAAGTGTTCTGCCCTTTGTGATGACGTTTTCAATGAACTGGAGCATGATGTGCCACTGACGGGGAGTCGGTGGTGGGCATGTACTCCTGCGTTCATAACTGCCCTATGCATATTTGAACAAAAAAAGCAGCACAAAGTAATAGAGTCACCCAACACTATCCTTCAACCAATAACTGGAGGCTGCATGTTGGTATTTGCTAATGTAGTATAACAATAGAATAAGAAATAAACCAACTCTATAAGGACTATCATTTTGCAATCGCCAGTAGAATTGTACAAAAATATTCTGATGCACCTCTACTGTCATATACTACAGCAGGAATTTTTCATCCTTTTTAAAGCTAAGAGTAGTTTGAACCACTGCTTTGGCCAATGCCATCTGAGTAGAAAATGTGTGTTCCATTTCCTCATGGAAGCTTAGGTCAGTGTGTAACATTCCGTATTGCCTTCCATGTGATAGGAAACTAGTAAGATTTTAAATGAAAAACTACTAATTAGCTTGAGTTCCACAGTGAGGAAATAAGAAATATTCACTAGACAACCTTTTATGAATATTCAGCTTAAAAAAAGAAATAAACCTTCTTTAAGCGAAGCACTCAAGATTTTGAGAGAGTTGCACCATAGTACCACCCAGGCTGTCCTGAATGACAGCATGCAGTAATCAAACCAAATTTATCTTGGAGAATAGTTGTACACAGTAGCAATCCTTTAACTGCTATAAAATAAGATTAACATTTCAAAACTGCACTACATTTTTACTAAACCATGATGCGTCTTTTAAAAAATTGTATGGAGTTAGTAACCAGTATAAGTACCTTGACTATTAGATGGCTCACAAATATTGAATTTTTCGAACATAGGTCACGATTTTTTTTTTATGTCTACAATATGGCTCATTTTCTCCTAGGCTCATTCTTTTCTTCCAGTGGAAACAACTCTGTCCTGCCAACACCCTTCCACCGGCCCAAATTTTACACCACGTGTGTGTAAATGGGTGTTTCTGTAATAGACTTAAAGATATAATCAAGGTAAAAAATTTATTCAGAGTGCATCTGGCCATGTTTGAAGGCTCTTTCAGTGAGATACACATCTCCTTGGAAGGATCTGTAGATTGCAAATTTTCACTGTAGTGCTTTTCCCGGCGCCTCTGGGAAATGTCACTGTGAAGCATTTTGTAGATCAAAGAGCCGCAAAGTCATGATACTAGTCCTGCGGGCACATTGACCAACATTAGAGTCCCAGCTTGGCTGTGCATTGTGACTTCTCTGAAATTTTATTTTTCAGTGTAAAATTATGAAGAAAATGCCACTAATCTCACAGTGTCCCTGGTTATTACAGGTGATGTACATGAGACAGACAACACCTAGTACAGTATCTAGTAGCCCATAGTCACACACTGAATGGATGCTATTGTTATTGAAGAGTAGAATCCCTTTTTAGTCCTAGGTATAATGTTTTTGTAAATCAGAAAATGAATAATAGATGGAAAGTAAACTGATAGTGTGTTCATAACAAAACACACGACTGATATATTTATTGCCCAGGCATCAATTATTAAGACAAAATAAATTGAGCCATTACACTCAATTCCACAACAATAGAATAAGTAGAATCATGACATTAACTTCTGTTCTTGTTGCTTGGGAGGGTGGTGTTGCTGGTATCTAACCCAGGTCATTGTGCATTCTAGGCAAGTGCTCTGCCCAGCCCTTTTTATTTTAAGACAGAGTCTCACTAAGTTCCTCAGTTTGGCCTCAAGTTTTATTCTCCAGTTAATGTTGTGTAACAATAGAATAGAAAATAAACCAACTCTATAAGGAGCCTCTGAGCAGCTGGAATTACGGGTATGTGCCAACACACCCA